ATACTGCAACAAAAATACAGTGAAGGTGTTATAGTAAACCAAAAACAATGGCGGTCAATGGGGTCCAACCCTGTTTGGTTACTGACATTCTTCAAAATATCTTTTGTGTTCAGCAGAAAAAGAAATCAAGCAGGTTTGAGACGACTTGAAGGAAAAGAGCCTAAATGATAGGGATGTCCCGATACCACTTTTTCACTTCCGATACCGATACCGATGCCGCACCTTTGGCTTTTGCCGATACCGATATTAGTCCGATATTTTTTTTTTTTCGTGGTCCGACGTGTCGTATACGGCCCACAGGGTGGTTTATAGGTTTAACTTTGTGAAAGACAAAACAAACACAAAAGTAAACATAATACATATCTCTGGAAAGCTGAGAAACTCGTGATTCGAACGACGTAAGTTAAACCATTTTAAGATACAATCAACACAGCGGGCACAATCTGTCTCTTTGTCAGACCACCAACAGCCAAAACAAACCAACACAAAGCCATCTGTTAGTCCACATTCCAACAAAAATGGTTTGGTTTCACTGTAAAGCGTCCATACAATCCAATTTGAAGAAGTTTTTAGTCCAAAACAATTGTATATATGAATAAACATCCATGGAATGTAAATAGTAGCATTTCGCGTTAGCCGACAGCGCTATCACAACTTCGACGCACTAATTGATCCGTCTAACTTCCGTTGAAACGTAAACATTGGAGAAAAAAGAATGTCAAAATGGCCGCTGACCCATGAACTATTGATTGACAGGTCATTTTAGCCAATCGGCGAGTGTTAGGGGTGTCTTCTAAACTCCAACAGCCAACGAGCGTGCCTGGTGAAGATCGGTACCTACCTCTCTTTGAGTGACAGTTTATCTATCCAGTTGCAATAGAGAATGAAATGACGCTATTTTCTGATAGCCAATGAATTTCTGAAAAGACTGAAATGCAGCTTTTGTTGGTGGAATCATCCGATTACATTAGAATCATGCGCAAAGCGAGAGTGATTCTCTGCGCGCGTGTGCGTAAAGACAACAATCATCACGTGACAGGCTGCGCCGCTAAACTGGATATCGCTCATATTTTTTTCCCTTCCGATCTCCGATCTAGCGTTCTGGGCCGGTATCGGCGCGATACCGATGCCGTGGATCGGATCGGGACATCCCTACTAAATGATGACAGAATTTTCATTTTTAAGTGAACTATTCCTTTAAAAAAAGCTTAAATAACATGCAGGCCTAAATGCTTATAGGGAGCAGAAAGCAGTCGGTCGGGCAAACGTAAGCAGAGCTGAATCACATCAGCAGCACACATTGATTCATTCGGGGAGATGAGCTTGTGTGAACGTTATACCGTCAGTCAGGACAGAGAATGGGAAATCAATGATTACAAACAAAGATGCAAGGGCAGTGATTCTGACAAACCTCACCAGTCTGGAAAACCAATCATTCCCTTTTTGCACTTGTGAAATGCATGGTTTATCAAGAAAAATACTGATGAAAAAAAAGCTTTTCCTTAGCCTACTAATGATCAACTAATAAGGCTTCCTTCTTCATGAAACAATTATATATTCTTACATATTTCATTGATTTTGCCCGATTCACTCAGATTAGTTTCTGACAGGAGAATATAATAAAGACAAATATTACTCCTATTGTTTTATCCATAATACTTTGGGCTGTATGCTTTATTCTCAATCCTCTGCTAAATGCCAAAGATTATTTTTATGTTGAAATCATTTACATATATCAGTAGTTTCAATCGTCATTTATTTCATTTGTCTTCAAGTCGGACTGGCAAACTATATTGAAATGGTGTAAAATACATTTAACTAGGCCTATATATATATATATATATATATATATATATATATATATATATATATGGCCTATATATTTGGGATTTACATATTAGCATAGGCCTATTCCCTACTTTTACTTTTAGAATAGACTGAAGCAAAGAACAGAAAAGGGGTAAATTACATGCCGTTGTGTTAGTTTAATGTTCAGATTTTGTGAATCACTGAAATAAACATGTGAACAGGCTAAAGCCCATCTTCTGAATGTTAAGACAATTAGGCCTACATTTATTCTCAAAAAAACAAACAAAAAAAAAACAGAGAAGTTTGTCCACTGGTGTCGCTGTGTAGATTGTTGTGCTTTGCACAGTATTTAGCTTAATAATTCGTAATATTTGTTTTGTCTTGTCGACTCTCATCTGAATTTTAAGGAGAGACTGTCTAGGAGAGCCACTGAAGACAACATTGAAGAAAACAATCGCGCCGCGAACACTTTCTGGAAACGCTCGTCACACACCTGACGAACACTGATGTCATTTAACGTTATGCCTTTACCATCGTTTTCAGAATGCTATATCCCCAACTAACACATATTATCAATGACGTGATACTGGAAAAATATGGAATTAAATATTTCTGAGAAATATTCGTACTTACTGCTCTGAGACGAGACGCCTGAAGTTTTCATTTGAAAATGGCGGCGAGGAAACGCGACATCCAATAAGGATCATCTGCACTCCATTATCCCTCAAGTTGTAGTGTGGTTGAAAATGATTAAAAGGAAGATGTCGTTGCCTTAGAAGAAATGACTGCGCGATATTGGAAAAAACTTACATTGCGAGATTTTGTTTTTCTGCGATATATATTGCGATATAAAAACAATTTCACCACAAGTCGTGCCGTACCAACCGTGCAGTGGAAAAGCGCCAATAGTTGCTATGCGGTTGCCGTAGTTTGTTTTACGCAATTTCTTTCATGGAAATGTTTTGACAATGTAGAGTATAAAGATATGTGTGGTGTGTTGTAGATTAAATAAAATAAAAATAAAAAACAGTTCGTGTTGTGTGTTTATAAATTGACATAACTAATGTGAAGGCATTAGATTCCCCTTTTCACCATTCTTTAAAAATAAATAATAAACCCTATCTTGTAGGATTCAATTCAATTGAAAGTTCCAGTTTAAACCCTGAAACATGTTCTGACCTGACTGATGTTACATGATGAAATATTGTTCCTACCCTTACAATATATTATATTATATTAGCCTATGTTATTGTAGTTAGACCATGGTAACCACAAATTACCCATAGTTTTGCTACACAAACTATGGTTTAATCATGGTTTTTATAGTAAAATAGTGGTTATACAATGGTAATCAAATTAATAGTTGCTCAGTGTTTCAGTAAATGAGCACATGCTAAAATATTAATCCACAAGGGTTAGAGTTTATAATCAGTTCTTTCACTCATATTTTTTATTTTCTTGCAACGTTGCTCTTTGGCAAATTCACAGTGTGTGCTCTCTGTATGTAATATAACAGATAAATTGCACCCCATGTTGTTTTTATAGCATTTTGGCAGTCATATCAAAGTAATTGAAATGAGAGATTTAGTGAGATGGAGTCTTGAGAGCTGGCCTACTTCTGACAGTGTGTATGCGCTCGCATCTGTGTTTGCTCCGACCAGACCCTCGGCTCACGGTGAAGACTGGACTGTTCTCTGGCTCACAATTAGACAGATGGGAAAATAAGGAATGCATGGATGCAAAGACGAAAGAGGCCATATGGAAAGGGATAAATCATTTATTTAAGCTTTTAAAAAGTACAGTGACAGTGGAACCGGCTGCATGGACTGATTTTCACTGATCGGGTCGAGTTGATCGTACCACTTTCCATCATCTTAATCCTTTAAAACTACAATTCGCGTCTGATGTCACAATACATCATACTTTTATGAAATCATGCAAATACTCTACCTTGTCTGTGGACATCATTCATTCCAAAGCCGGTCCTGATAAACAGCGACTGTGTGTGCGACAGTCAGCCGCGCTAGGCTAAATTATTTACGACAGCGGTAATGAACAATTCCACTTCCAACCTGTAGGGCGACCGCAGAGGAAAAGCCACTTGGTGTTGCTTTAACTTTATTGCTTTAAAGCACATATTAGCACCTAAAATGTACATATTAGCACCTAAAATGTACATATCAACACCTAAAATGTACTTATCAACACCTAAAATGTACTTATTAGCACCTAAAATGTACATATCAACACCTAAAATGTACTTATTAGCACCTAAAATGTACATATTAACACCTAAAATGTACTTATTAACACCTAAATGTACATATTAGCACCTAAAATGTACTTATTAACACCTAAAATGTACTTATTAGCACCTAAAATGTACATATTAACACCTAAAATGTACTTATTAACACCTAAATGTACATATTAGCATATTCAATGTACATATTCATTGTACATATCAGCATATTCAATGTACAGCAATGTACATATTCAAATGTACTTATTAACACCTAAAATGTACTTATTAGCACCTAAAATGTACATATCAACACCTAAAATGTACTTATTAACACCTAAATGTACATATTAGCACCTAAAATGTACTTATTAACACCTAAAATGTACTTATTAGCACCTAAAATGTACTTATTAGCACCTAAAATGTACATATTAACACCTAAAATGTACTTATTAGCACCTAAAATGTACAAAAAGTTACATTTTGTAAAGGTACAGCCCCAGTGACAGCTTTTGTACATCTTTTCTGAGAGTGAGTAACCGCCGGTAATATTAAAATGATAGTTTTGAACTATTTTTCTCCTGATGTAAACTGTGTGCAGTGATCATGAAACATGCATAGATGCTATTTCAGTAGATGATGCTTTCATGCATGAATACACTATAAAATACATTATGCATAAAACATTTCAAACAATTTCTATGACCTATTAAAGTGGTTTTTATCTCGTCTCTGTTATTTTAAGGTTACAGTCAATAACCGTATTGATCTTATGTTTAGATTCATGAAATATTCTGGAAAATTGATTCCTGTTGTCGTGTGAGAGAGAACACATCTCACTTAAAGTCCAGTCGGATATCTGATTTTCAGTCACATTATTCAAAATATGTTGTAAAATGATTGTGTGTGGTCTCAATCAAAATGCCAGATAATCATTAGCCTTGCCTTGAAGTTGTTTATTCCCAATTCCAGCATTAGAATAGCTCATGATGGGAAAGCCTTTATTACAGTACTGTAGAGCATTATGTAATGCCTCAGAAAGGCATCAATAATTCATGAGGCAGTTAAAAGTTTAATATGGAGTCAGATTGGTTTTTAAAAGGATGTCTATCGCTAAACCGCTACAGTGTTTGACTACTGGTTAACATAGCTAATAGCTAACAACAGAAGCAGATGAAAACAATGAATACGATCATGAAAACAACCATTATTTTTATTGTGGCTCGCAGTGTGTTTACTTGAAAAGGTGTAAGACGACCAGCAGTAAAAATCCTGAAGAAATGTCCATAATTCATCTCACAATCAAAAGAAAAAAAAAATCTTGCATAAAAATGGCCAATTTTTTAAATTCTCACATTATTGTAGTGCAAAACAAAAATCTCATTTTTATTGTTGTATGGTTCCTCTAGTCTAGACAATATATAATTTTAATTGTAAAATTTTGGTAAAATGTTTAATTGTCATGAAAACATATTATTGCCATATTTAGTCAAAAATATATATATTTTAAATATTTCGTTTGATTTGAGGGTGAAATATGGGCATGTTTTCGAGAGATTGCTGTGCATGTCGTGATGTACTACGAGTAGAAGAGAGAATCAAATACTGTTGATTAAAATCAAAAACATAATAAAATGAGATGGGAATGCAGTGTGTGTGTGTGTGTGTGTGTGTGTAGGGGTCGGACAGAATACACAATTTGGACAGTATAAAAAGCATTACGTCTATGGAGAGTCCCAAAGATAGCGAACCTACAGTGTGTGTGTGTGTGTGTGTGCTGTAGTGCTCAGGGTTTCTTTGTCGTGCTGACAGTCGTTGCGCCGCTGCCGGTGTTCACAGGGATGTTGATCTCTGAGCCCTGGATTGCAGGTTTGGGCAGAGGAGCTTCGATAGTCAGGACGCCCTCAGGAGACAGACTGGACGTGATCTTCTCCGAGTCCACACCAGCGGGCAGACTGCAACACAACACACTCGGGTCAGCACTCTTTCAAAACTGTGCGATGATGATGATGTGAAATATTATGCAATGTGATGCATGGATCATTGTCAAAAGCTGTTGGTCGCACCCTGGATAGTGCTTCTGGATCCTCCCTATCAAGTGTGCTTCATCAGCATCAGCAAATTATGAGATACTAAGTCATAATTTTGAGATACAAAGCCATTATTATATCACAATAAGTTAAACTTATGAAATACTAATTCACAATTTTGAGATAATAAGCCATAATTATTACACAATATTATTAGATTCTAAGACATAATTCTAGACATACAAGTCATAATTGTGATAAAAAGTTGAAAATTATAAGAAATTAAGTCATAATTACGAGATAAATAATATCAATGAGACAAAATGTCAGTATGAGATACTAAGTCATTATAATGAGAAAATAGGCCATAATTATGCCACAATAAGTTAAAATGATAAGATACTTAATCATAATTGTGAGATAAATCATAATTCTGTCAAAAAAATAATTATAAGAAAGTAAGTCTTAATTAAGGGATATAGAAAATCTATTATACAAATTACATAAAACGTCACTATGAGATACAAAGTAAGTCATAATTATTACATAAAAGCCATAATTATGACATATGAGATAATATGTCACAATTATGAGATGTCAATTATAACATAAAATTTCATAACTGACAAAGTGGAAATTATAAAAAAATTAAGTCATAATTACAAGATAAAAATATCAATGAGACAAAATGTCAGTATGAGACACTAAGTCATAATAATGAGATTAACCAATTATGACATAAAAATCATAAATGGGTCAAATAAAATTAATTATAAGAAATTAAGTCATAATTAAGAGATAAAAAATCTGATACAGATGCATAAATTACATAAAACTGAGAAACTAAGTCATAATTATTAGAAGAAAGCAATAATTACAACACAGTAAGTCGAAATTATGAAATACTAAGTCATAATTAAGAGATACGATTAAGACGAAAGTCATAACTGTCACAAAAAGTTAAAATTATAAGAAATTGAGTCATAATTATGAGATAAATATCAATTATACAACTGCATAAATTACATAAAATGTTATGAGATAAAAGACATAATTTGAAATTATGAGATCATACAGTATTTATGAGATGTCAACTATTTCACTGTGACAAAGTTGAAATAATGAGATATTAAGTCATAATTACGAGATAAAACATACCGGTATTTATTAAAAAAAAAGGATAATGATAACAAAAAGTCTATATGATCAAGTGTGCTCCATCAGCGTCTCAGTACTCACGTGTATTTCCTGGTGAAACATCGCGACACGAAGCCGTGCTCATCCTTCCTCTCCTCGTGTTTGCCTGGAGATCAGACGAGAAGAACACACACATGAGATCTTTTCTCTCAGTTTCTGCATTAAATGGACACTGAACTCAAAATGACGAGATCTAAAAATACCAACATTTGCATCACAATCAAAACCTCATCATGTGCTATCCACACATACTCTTACTGTATATCAACAGCTGTCTCTATTTTTCAGTGGTGGAGGAAGTACTGAATCTCAGTACTTAAGTAAAAATACAAATAACCAGATAAATATTTACTTTAGTAAAAGTAGAAGTAACACAATGACAACCATACTTAAGTAAAAAGTAAAAAGTACCTGATTTTAACTATTAAAAGTAAAAGTACTTGCATAATAATTGATTCTCTTAATGACTATTTTCTAATGATTAATAAAACATTTAATTCTAACTCATTCAACCTAATACTCCTATAATGATGGAAAAAAATTGTCATCATTTCTGAAACAAGCTTGCAATTAGGCAATATATGCTTATCCGTACTATATGTCAATAACTACACTCTAAAAAATGCTGGGTTGTTTTAACCCAACTTTGGGTCAAATATGGACTAACCCAGCCGTTGGGTTAAATTTTTACATTACATTTTTAACCCAACATTTCGGGTTTGTCCATATTTGACCCAAAATTGGGTTAAAACAACCCAGCATTTTTTAGAGTGTATGTTTGGCAGTAAACGCAATTCATTTATGGTGTAATTCTGAACCTCTTGGCTTGCCATAATCCTAACCAAACGTATATTACACACGGTGTGTTTCCTATGCATGTAAAAACACATTTTCGCGTATAAATTGCATGATAAACACACTGCGTGCAAGACGCATGTATCTATGGCAACCAAACGTCACTGGTGAGACAAACGTGCAACGAACGTAGCCTACGGTCAGATTACGTTTTTGGCAGGGGAAAAACTGATCAGAAAATGTAACGAAAAAGTAACAGAAGTTGTAGAAATGTAGTGGAGTAGAAAGTATAATAATTGCTGCAAAATGTAACGAAGTAAAAAGTATGCACTATTTATTCTACTTAAGTAAAGTAAAGATACGTGAAAAATGTACTTAAGTAAAGTAACGAAGTATTTGTACTTCGTTACATTCATTCACTGCTATTTTTATATTAAAAATAGAGATTACTGGGTTGATTTAACCCAAATTTGGGTCAAATATGGACAAAAAACAACCCTTTAAAAATGCATTTAAAAATATAACCCAATGGCTGGGTTTGTCCATATTTGACCCAAATTTGGGTTAAAAAGACCCTGCCTTGTTTAGAGTTTAGCAACAAGCTAGGATTGTTTCGCATTATCATGTGAATTAATGTGACGGTAATGAGTGTTTAACCGAACATTGACTGAGCTTCATGTTAATGTTTCCTCTAAATCACATGGGTCATTTGACCTCGCTGTCCTTTCAGCGTTCATCAAAGCTCAAACTCTGGGTAACCCAGCATCGGCTCTGATTGTTTAGACAACAAACCCCAGAAGACCCTGATCATCTGATACAGACCAACACCGAGATGGATGTGATATGAGAGTCCAATTACGTCACAAGATCAACATTAATGCTCCCTATTTCACTTCTGAAATCTGATGCGCTTCTTTTCCATACCAAAAATCAAAGATCTTGAAATGTTAAATGACACAAAGCTACGAACGTAAGTCTCACAATGAGCTAAGAGCAATAACTCGCTCACACATTTGAGCCTCTCTGTGCTCTGGCTGTGTAATATCTCAGGAATTTAGCTGGCCATTTAGCCCGCCCTATGAAGATTCAGCTTTCCCCCAGAAACATCTGTTATTCAGCAATACTTTAAGCCCACCTCTGTTCCTTATGCATGTACACCACATAAGAAGAGTCGCTTTGGTAAATCATATTTAATTATAACACAAAAAGTCTACCAATAGTAATGCTGCAAACTATACAGAGAACCCTCCCATTTGGTAAAATATAATATTGGTTGCAATTAATAACAGAGCCTATTATATTTAAAGGAACACTCCGACTTTTTGGGACTTTAGCCTATTCACCTTACCCCCCAGAGTTAGATAAGTCCATACATACCTTTTTCATCTCCGTGCGTGCTATAAGTCTGTTTGACGCACCCACCGCTAGCCTAGCTTAGCACAAAGACTGGATGTGACTGGTTGCAGCTTTCATACTGATCCAAATGAGTGGCAAAATAACGCAAACGTTTTCCTATTTACATGTTGTGATTTGCATAGTCACATAATGTACAAATAACAAAGTCAAATGAGACACAGACATCTTTTAACCGTATAAAACCTGGGAACTATTCTCTGAAGGCGAAGCACTGCTACTTTGACGGCGTAATAACCGCATCACCGGAGACACGCCGTGGTGAGGAGCGGAGAGTTCGCTCAGTGTTTGGGTAATAGAGTCAGCAATTTATAAATAGTAAAAGCGTAGTTTAGAGTCATGGGTTTTCGCTCTATTGTAAATAGCTGCGACTGTAAACAGGGGAGGTAACCATGTTTCACAGAATTCCAACTAAAAACGCTGACTGGATGAAGAAATGGCTAACTTACTCTGGATATTGATCCAAACACACCTAAGATTATCAAGGGACATTACGTTTGCTCGGTACATTTCAATGAGGACGACTATTTTGAAAAAATGGAATTTGCCACACGGACCATAATGTGCTGAAGGATACGGCCATCCCATCGATAGCACAGACAGGACAAGTGGATCACCTGCGGCTGAGGTAAGTGTTTTTAGATGACCTACTGTAACAGTGCCTTTAGCCAGATCTAATGTAACGTTACTGACACTATTATATGATTAGGGTATGAATATGTTTTTATCTTGATGCGGTGCGGACGCGCTTGGGGGAAAATAAACGAGCGCGTTCACTGCGTTGAACTTGCACCCTGCGCGCGGCGCGCCTAGTAGCCTAAATTTGAAATAACCATGGAAATAACGAACTTGAGCGTGCAAAAGGGTACGATAGGCTGTGAGTTCATTGTGCAAAAACAATTTGTGCTATTACTTTCCCCTTATTCTATCCTATAGTAATGCAATACTGTATATTATATAGGCTAAATAGCCTACATTTGGTTCAGCTAATAAATTGCATTTAAAATATATTGATTCCTGTAATAATAATTATTTATTCATGTAATATTTATAAATCTGGGTGCGTTTTTGGTTGGAAATCAATGAAACATGGTACTGTATTACCTGGTCTCCCCTGTTTATTGTCACAGCTCATACAATAAAGCAAACACCCATGATAAACTATGCTTTTCTATCTAACGTTAGTAATTGCTGACTCTTTATTCCAACGCTGAGCGAAGCGAACTCTCTGCTCCTCGTCACGGTGCGTCTCAGGTGATTGTTATCACTCTGCCCAAGTAGCAGTGCTTCGCCTTCAGAAAATATAGTATTTATACGGTCAAAAGATGTCTGTGTCTCATATGGCCTTGATATTTGCACACTCTGTGACTATACAAACCACAACATGTAAATAGGAAAACGTTTGCGTTATTTTGTCACTCATTTGGATTAGTATGAAAGCTGCAACCATTCACATCCAGTCTTTGTGCTAAGCTAGGCTAGCGGTGGGTGCGTCAAACAGACTTATAGCACGCACGGAGATGAAAAAGGTATGTATGGACTTATCTAACTCTGGGGGGTAAGGTGAATAGGCTAAAGTCCCAAAAAGTCGGAGTGTTCCTTTAACTGCTATTTAAGGTATACTGCGATCTGTCATGTGACATTTAAGAGCGTCAAAACGTCATTTATTGTTTGAATTTCGTTATAAAATGGACACAATTTGAAAGATGAGACTTTTTCTTTTTAGAAGTAAAGCACAATGTTTGTTGCGATTATTGGACATAAAAAGTCATAATTGTGAAAAGTTAAGAGATGTTAAGTTATAATTATGAGATAAAAACATAATTATGACACAAGCTGAAATTATGAGATACTAAGTCATAATTATGAGATAAAAACATAATTATGACACAAACAAAATAAGTTGACATTATGAGACACTAAATCACAATTATGACACAATAAGTTGAAATTATGAGATACTAAGTTATTATTAGGAAATAAAAACATAATTATGACACAATGAGTTGAAATTATGAGATAATAAGTCATAATTAGGAGATTAAAAACAATTTTGATACAATCAATTGAAATGATGAGATACTAAGTCATAATTATGAGATAAAAAATACATAATTATGACACTAAGGTGAAATGATGTGATACTAAGTCATAATTATGAGATAAAAAACATAACTATGACACAATAAATTGAAATGATGAGATACAAAGTCATAATTATGAGATGAAAACACAATTATGACACACTACGGTGAAATGATGAGATAAAAACATAATATGAGATAAAAAACATAATTATGACACACTAAGGTGAAATGATGTGATACTAAGTCATAAGTATGAGATAAAAACATAATTATGACAATAAATTGAAATGATGAGATACTAAGTCATAATTATGAGATAAAAACATAATTATGACACACTAAGGTGAAATGATGAGATACTAAGTCATAATTATGAGATTAAAAACATAATTATGACAATAAATTGAAATGATGAGATACTAAGTCATAATTATGAGATAAAAAACATAATTATGACACACTAAGGTGAAATGATGTGATACTAAGTCATAATTATGAGATAAAAACATAATTGTGACACAATAAATTAAAATGATGAGATACGACTCGTAATTATGAGATAAAGTGCTCACCGCTGATCTCCACCACTCCATCTTTGGTTTTCACCGTCAGCTCCTCGGGGGCGAAGTGATTGACATCCAGGCTGATCTTCCAGGCGTCCTGAGTCTGCTTAATCTCGGACATTCCCGAGCTCAGCTGTCGGGAGAAGGCCCGGCCGTAGTTGGGAGGAATCATCGCGGCGGGAGGAGACATGGGCATCTGGGCTGGACTCTGCATTAGACAGGCCATGTCCGGATGTCCGAAGGAGCGCATGTATCCCGGCCAGTGCGTGCTCGGGAAAGTGGGCATCTCCTCGGAGAAGGGAGGCATCCCGAAGGTTTGGTCGAAGAGCCGGCTGCCCTGGTACCAGTCCCGGAAAGGGTCCCAGGATGAGCCGTGCATAAAGCTGAAGGGGATCCGTCTCTCGGCCATGGCTTGAGTTTCAGTTCTCGCTCTGAAAGTTTTCAGGAGAGTGTTGTGTCCTGTCTGGGAGAGCTGGGATTTATAAGCACGTACTGGCCGACCCCCTTTCACACTGACACCTCCTCCCATCCGGATATTTATGGAAGTGACTAGAATGTCTATTCACGGACGGCTTTGCATGAGACATTTTCATTCCTGTATTGTGTAGGATGCCAAAAACAGTCAAATCTACTTAATTATTACAGCACTTTTTAACAATATAGAGTGTTTCAAAGCAGCTTTACACAGATTTAGGAGATTTATTTTGATAGTGCCTTTAACACATTCTGTTGTCTATTAGTAACTTTGCACCTACTTGTACTAACTCTCATTAGAGTGTGAGTAGAGTATTAGTACACTGGTAGGGTTAGAATAAGTTGACATGTAGTTGCAAAGTTACTTATAAGTTAACAGAATGTTCAAAAGGGACCATCAAAATAAAGTCTTACCGAAATTGTATCGGCTTTACAGCAGATCTAGAATAAAGTTATTGTCCAGATAAAGTCACGGATGGCCTCGCATGGGACATTTCCATTCCTGCATTGTGTATGATGCCAGAAACACATAACTGCATGAAAAATGGGAGAATGCTCGCAACGCAAAGGTCATGGGTTCGATTCCCAGGGAATGATGAAATGGATAAAAACATCCGCCAAATGCAGAACTGTAGATACTGAGATGTTTCAGATTGTAATCTTTGATTTATATATCACGATTCTGAAAGATTTCATATACCATAATAAGAAGCATACGCCAAAGCCGCAATTCATACAAGGCAAAAAATGTTAAATATATAATAAATATGCCAAATATCTAAAAATTATTAAATCGAGATGCATTTATTATGTCTTGTTTTCTAGGGAAATAAATCAAAATGAAGTGAGTTGTTGCTTAAAAAAAAGCCAAATCAAACAGAAACAACACTCTTAGAAGAAAAGGTTCTATATAGAACCTTAAAAGGTTCTATCTGTGCTACGTATTTGGAACCCCTAAAAGGTTCTATACACTCATAAAAAAGGGTTCCTCTGGGTTCTATATAGAACCCTGGGGTTCCGTACTTGGCCAATAGAACCTTTTACCAGAAAAAAAGGTTCTATATAGAACCATTTTGGAGTTCCATATATGAAGCGGGGGATGGAACCATTTCTGGTTCTAAATAGAACCATTTCTTCTAAGAGTGAATATTATTTTTTTTAGATTTTTTGACTGGAAAGAAGATAAATAGTACTAAGTAAGAAAAGCATTTTTGCAGTGTAAGAACGTATTGGCCCTTCCACACTAATGACCCCCCCACACACACACACACACATCCAGATATTTATAGAATTGACTCGAATGTTTATTTACGGAAGCCCTTGCATGAGAATGGCATCCGAGGCAAAGCCTTCCTGAAGTGACTTTCCTGGCGCACACACACACACACACACACACACACACACATTCCTGTCATGACACTGGAGCGGAGGAATCTGGGATTGTTGTAAAGCACACAAACTGAGTCAGCAGAGACAGACCCAAACACACGTGCTGATAGATGATTTAGGCGAGATCGGAGGAATGAAGGAACAATAAAAGTCCTCTACATATATTTATGCACAAGGAGTCGTGGTGCTGCTGTATATTGTGCATTTATATGCAAAGACTATGTAGCAAGACCTCAAAAGCCGTATTCTTCATATTAGGATAAAAACAAAAAAAACTCAATAAAAGTAATTATTTTCCCTTCTATTCAAACATACAAGCAGCTTTTATGGAGTCTGGATTGTTCTGCAACTCAAAAACTCTGGAAGAAGCGAATCAAAGAAGATTATAGAACAGAGAAGTGGAGCGACTCCAGTTTCGAGCTCACTGGTCTATAAATACAACCGTTCCATTATTTTCCACGGTGAACGGGAAAGAGCAGGAACCTTCCAGACACAGATCCGGCGGGATCACATGAGTGTGTCCAGCGCCACACACTTACTCTCAGAAAAAAAGGTACAAAAGCTGTCACTGGGGGCTGTACCTTTTCCATTTTAGGTGCTAATATGTACTTTTTAATTGCTGATATGTACATTTTAAGTGTTAATATGTACATTTTAAGTGTTAATATGTACATATTAGGTGCTAGTATGTACATTTTAGGTGTTAATATGTACATTTTAGGTGTAAATATGTACATTTTAGGTGCTAATAATTAAATTTTTAGGTGCTAATATGTACAGTTTAAGTGTTAATATGTACATTTTAGGTGTCAATATGTACATTTTATGTGTTAATATGTACATATTAGGTGCTAATATGTACATTTTAGGTGTTAATATGTACATTTTAGGTGTAAAATATGTACATTTTAGGTGCTAATAATTAAATTTTTAGGTGCTAATATGTACATTTTAAGTATTAATATGTACATTTTAGGTGTCAATATGTACATTTTAAGTGTTAATATGTACATTTTAGGTGCTAATATGTACATTTTAGGTGTTAATGTGTACATTTTAGGTGCTAATATGTACGTTTTAGGTGCTAATATGTACATTTTAGGTGTCAATATGTATATTTTAGGTGTCAATATGTACATTTTAGGTGATAATAAGTACATTTTAGGTGTTAATATGTACATTTTAGGTGCTAATATGTACGTTTTAGGTGCTAACATGTCCATTTTAAGTGTTAATGTGTACATTTCAGGAGCTAATATGTCCATTTTAGGTCCTAATATGTACATTTTAGGTGCTAAAATGTAAATTTGAAGTGTTAATGTGTACAGTACATTTCAGGAGCTAATATGTACATTTTAGGTGCTAATATGTACCACTAAGGTAGCAATATGCAGCCTTTGGGTACAAAAGTGTACCTTTTGAAAAGGTACAGCCCCAGTGACAGCTTTTGTACCTTTTTTTCTGAGAGTGTAAGAAACTGAAAGACATGATCAGAATAACACACTGCATATGGCAAGCCACATTTACATTCAAAGCGTATTAGTATCTATTTTCATGCTAGTACTATTTTTTTTTTAGAAACTAGAACTTATTCCAACAGTGTCTAGTATTTAAAGTCCCCCTGTAGTCAATCGTTTCATCCCTTAAAACTTTGAGAAATTTGATCACCAAAATGATATTTTAATTTTTTTTTCATTGAAAAAAAAAGACTGCTTAAGCCAGACTGTTCGTTTTTAATTTAAGGGGCCATCGGCGTCAAAACAGACCAGAAATACATTTTCTATGACCCTCCAAAATGAATGTGAAAAAAGGCGTTTTATATTTAATAATTTAATATGAGGGAAACACACATGCGCATAACTACACATAACTTTCGCTCATGCTGTTGAGCTCGCATAACGGGCATAACCGACCCAGTTGTCCACATCAGTCGCCATGGTTACCATTGCAGTACGAGGTCAAACCTGGCGGAAACCGAGGGTAACGTGGATATGACGTCATTGACTGGCGACTGCTCACACGCCCCGTTTCCTCTGTTAAAAATCACAATTTTCTCACAATTTACAAATAGTTGGAAACATTTGAGATATTGTGAGTAATCAACTAAACAAAATATATAACATTGGCCTAGTGTTTTTTTGGATATTTTACTGCAAAAATCCTGCACAATGTACCTTTAAGAACTAATAAACAGCCAATATCTTAGGAATATGCATGATAATAATAAACTAAACTAAACTTATATATTTGAAAGTATATTATATACGTAATAATACTCTTTTAGCTGAAATGCGCTTTGTTTTCATCATCTGAGCACAAGAAACAAGACAAAACTCAAAAGAGGATTCATTTGCAGATACTTTTATTGTGTTTAATCATGACTGGTCACTAAATCTACTGACTTTATACAGTTGGGAAGTTCTCATAACTCACATTATTGAATCAACAGGAGTGTGTAAAATCATATAACACTGGCGGCGAGACACACAGAAAGGAAGACTGAGGCCGATTCCTGCATCGTAAGGTCAAAGTTCACATGATCCGCCTCCTTTATTAACTCTTTCCAGGAGAGAAAGACAAAGAGAGCTGATAAAAGGCCAGATCAGTCTCCATTTGAAGGAGGGAATGAGACGAGAAAAACAGTACAATAAATTATAATAAATATTTGCAAAATACAAACTCGTAAAACAACAAGCGTGCTAACACTTTCCTTGAAGGGGTGTATGACAACTGTCATTAAATGTCATTATGACATTTTGAATGCAAATATGACATTGTTTGACAATGTCAGTCTAATGCAAACCCCTTCAAGTAACGTGTTACCACAAGTTTAAGTCTTCTGCTTAAAAAAATCATTTCAAAGTGTAGTTCTGCATTTACGGTCAACATGATTCTTCGTATTTCAGAGTGACAGCATATTAAAGAAAAACCTGTTGTTTTATCCGCAAGCAAAGTTTCAGAGGTGGAAAAAGTTGTTCAGTTTTGGAATAACGTGCATGGATGAATCCTTGAACATAAGATCAGGAATATGTATTAATAAAGTCTTCATGTTGACTATAAAGGATGCAGAAGCTCGTCAGTACAAACGTTGCAAACGTGCAACACGCACAGATTATAAAAACATTTTCTCAGACCCAAAAAAAAAGGTAATAAATAACAAAATAAATATGCAACAAATATTAAATAAATAGCATCACGGAATAAATGTGCGTGTATATTTTTGCAGCCTGGTATCAGGTATAAGTGCACCTACACTAGAGACAGAGAACAACTGTACAACACAGAGCTCGAACCGTATCCATACGCACTAAACACAGCCAAAGTAGAATACTGTATATAATAAGAAATATCACATCTCCAAAATGGACATTATAGGTGCATCAGATATGGATTTTCCACAGAGATCCGAGAGTACAGGAGGGGACACACACACACACACACACACTCTCCTCTGCATCATGCCAAGCTTTTCCACATACCAAGCCTTTATAATCGGGCGTATAACTGGGAATATACAGTGCATAGTTTACAGCCAAAACTTGCAGCGGAAATATTCAAACTAAAACATCCTGACGTTCAGTCGTTATAACAAAACAAAGCAAAAAACAGATGTGCTTTTTTACATAATAAACGGGTGAATCTCAAAAAAAGTTAAAAATAAAAATAAACAAAAAATTTATAATTGCATAATAAATAAATAAAATGAAGCATGTTTAACCCTCTGGTGCTCCTCACACTGTAAAAAATAATACGCTTTATCT